TTACTACCTTAGACATCCTGAAATGATAAGGAAGCTTTGAGTGGAGTTTTACGAGGTTTTTCGCAAATTTTCATAGTTTTTCAAAATTAAATTAGTCAGAGAAGACTTAGACAACAATTAATCGGAAAAACATCCGCCAATTTTGCTTACACGCATCAAAATCATCCACGAGCGTTTTGTTTCTACTTTCTAGTCAAGTTATATAAAATAATTACTACACAATTCCTTTCCAGCCTTTGTTTTATAACCTTTGTTTTATATTAACTACTTTTATAATACATTATAATACACACGTTTTCTCATTAAAACTATTTACAACATCTCAGTTTTTTGACAAAGTTAATTACCAACGTCTTTATCTTATTATCATCAATCCACTAAAAACGAATTTGTTTAGCGAGACCCAGACATCTGTACGAAGTTTAAACAGAAGTTACAGAACAAATTTCAAACATTTTCCTGATGAAAACGTGAGAGGATTTGTGAAAACAGCCAAGTTGGCCCAAGTTTAAACTTGCTGAAGTATTGGAAAATTAATCTGGAAATCCAGAAGTCAATGTTTGTGCATTTAACAACAATGCACTGATTGTAGATGCTATGGCAGTTATTCAGTCGATGAAAGGAAAATGGAAAACATTTGGCGATGATGCTCTTTTAAAAACCTCATCACACTAGCACGAAAGTATAATTCCAAACGATTAGATTGTTGCAGACAGGTATCCTTAGTTGAGCATAAAGAATGCAGAGAGACAACGAAGAGCTGAAAAGTGAACACTGGAGGTCATGTAACTCCTCCCAGTGGTGTTCCATTTCTACTATGTATGTAACTGCTAAAGAAAGATGCTATGTTTTATATCCCGGTGATTCCCCGAACGATAGTGTGACAAGTAATGAGGTGTCTTCGCTTCATAGCAACCACGAAGAAGCAGACACTCGTTTAATTAATTCTACATGCTAACCACGCAGCAGCAACGTACGATAAAGCTATTATCAAAAGCCCTGATACAGGTGTTCTTATACCTGCGATTGCCATGCAACAACAGGTGCAGAAAGAGATTTTCTTTTTGACTGGCACGGGAGATAGACGTCGTTACGTATTTGTAGCAATTATCTCGAAATTCTTGGGCGCGGATGTTGCTCTTTGTTTACCAGGCTTTCATGCGTTTACCGGTAATGGCATTAGCAATCAAGCAGCATCATGGTATCAGTGTTTAAGTGCAGAAGTCGATCTTCCATCACTGGTTGGCAATGGCTGGACGCTTGACGAAAAAGAGCTGGAGATAACTTGGCTATGTTCGTGTGGTGATTGCCAGAATGCATGCAAGATGGTAACGACGATGATAGCAGTTATGGCCTGGCTCAATCTGATGACGATGATGAACTTGAAGGATCAGGATCTAATCTGGATTTCGGAGATGACGTCGATGATGAGACAGAGTTGTGGTATTAACTGTCCGATTAGAAGGGTTGAGTTCAACATTTTACTGATTTGTCTTTTGATATTATAAGGTGCTCACAATTCTCCCAAAATGGTATTCAAACGTATGGCTGATATCTACCTTGGTATGCGTGTTCAATAATTTAACATGTACAGCAGTTGTACGTTGCAAATCACGTTTAAATAATTGTTGAGGAAACGTGTGTATTATAAAAGTAGTTAATATAAAACAAAGGGTATGCTGGAAAAGAATTGTGTAGTAATTATTTTATATAAATTGACTAGGAACAAAACGCTCGTGGGTGATTTTGATGCGTGTCAATAAAGTTGTTCTTATTTATTTGTAAATTCCAAGAGCAGAATGCTATAAAAAAATCGCAAATTGGCGGATGTTTTTCAGTTTAATTGTTGTCTAATTCTTCTCTGACTAATTTGGTTTTGAAAAACTATGAAAATTTGCGAAAAACCTCGTAAAACTCCACTCAAAGCTTCCTTGTTGAAACCTGCTTGCACAGCAAAAATGCTAAAAACTTCATGTAAATACCGGTATAAAACTGCTGAATCTGCTATATATGTCGTATATTACACCAAGTATCCACGACATTTCCTGAATCAAAATGGCGTCGGTGTATTGCAAAACATGCAAATTCACTGATTTTTCGAAGATGAAATGCTCGAAAACTGCAGGTTTATGAAGGTGAAAACAAGTGAATTTAGACTTTTTATAATTTATCCTAGTTTTCTATCGTGTTTTTAAGTAGTGCCCGAAGGGGGGCAACGAAAATTGTTTTCTAAGCGACTTTTCGTGCCAGAGAATACGGCCTATCAGTTTTTTTGTCAAGAGCAAGTCCTCCAGGAATTTCTATATAGCTCTGTGGACCGATGGCTTCGCCATTATCAGCCATATATTAAAATTGAATATCATAAAAGCCAACAGACCCACCAGTAGCGTAGCCAGCCTGAAGATTTGTCCCGGTATGCTATTATTTTGGTGTTCATTGACTGTGAAAGAATAAATTTCTGAAGAAATGAGTAATTATAAAACTCGAAATTTATACGGCGGTTTACTTACTCGACCCTCAGCCTCATTTAACGAAACCTGAATCAGTATATAAACAAAGACACCAATCTTCAAGCAATTCATGTTTGTAGTAAACAATGTAGCCAACGCAAGTAAGATTCTTCAGTCACCTAAAATGGAAAAGTTATTGAGCTAAGTGTTACTCTACCTCGCTCACATATAAGTTAGTCTATTATGCTAGTCGTCCGTAGCTTACAAAGTGAATATATTTGAATGTTGGTATTAATACTGCTTGCTCTGCATGGTTCTATATACACTGTTCTATATAGCACCGGCGCTTCTTAGAAGGATGCATGAATATAACGTAAATACACCATCGCAAGTAAACACCTGTAAATACACCCAGTTAAAGGAGAAAAAAGTTATAATTTGTTATAATTTGTTAAATTAATACTTAAATTGTTAAACATTAATGGAACGCATAACTATAGGAAATCTGGATGTGCTATGAAACCCCCTAGCTTTTAGCGCTTTCAGCTATACCCGAGAGTGGTTATGCAAGAAATCGAACGACGAATGATTTGGTTTTTGCCCAACCGGTTCCACTATTAAAGCTCTTGAATAATACGTATATAAGAGTCACGTAGAGCAATTTCATGCCCATTTGAACTCGATTCACACTCGTTGCGTTGCTTTGCGTTGCGTTGCCTTGCGTTAATTGCGTTGCGTTATAACGTCGCGTCGCGTTGCGTTGCGCGCGTTGCGTTACGTTACGTTATAAATATGACTTAAGTACAATAGCTTTTGAAAGAAACCAGTCGCCAGTCGGGCATAAGAGGAATATACTAGAAGACTAGAAGTACATGCATCCAAAAGCAATTTCAATTGTATAAAGCTGGTCATAAAACGATCAGTCCGATATTTATAAGTTAATAAATTATTTAATAGATCTAACAAAATAGTTATGCTCGTAAGCTCGTTTCATCTAATTTGGGTTATACCAGCTAACAGTAACCATTAATGCTTCTTTGTTGGTTTGCTCAGGTACATAATTCCACGGGAGTTTTAATTATGTTGACCTTGCTTATTTATAGTATTATGCATGCATATAATGCGTATAGCTACATAAAAATTATTATATTTATTTTATCCTCTTGTACCAAAAATTTCACCATTTTTGTAACGATAGTAAATTCCGCAGGTAATACATTCCCATTCACACTTGTCTTTCAAGATTTTTTTTATTATCCTGACAAATAGTTTATATCTGCATACGGGACGTTTGTTGTGATGTTCCGCTGTAAAAGTTGTGAAAGAAACCCGACAATTGACCCCCCCCCCTCTTACTTTTCATGACGCTCGATTATGCGCCTTACGTGTCAAAATTAGTGCGGCCATATTTCAGCTGAAAGTAGCTTGATTTCTGCAGAAATTATATTAAAGTAAACATGCATTGCAGCAACAATTTTCAGATAGAACATCATAAAGAGTCTAGCTAGAATGATATCACAGGAGATTTGTCCTTTAGTTATTTAAAGTTCAACTTAATTTTATCTAATAATATAAAAATAGCTTCAATGCTGCCAATGTTTGAAAAGTCACAAACTCAGTTTGAACTATACTATAGCCGGAATATGCCTATAATTATGTAGCGTTTTCTTTTATCACTTTCTGTTGTTTCCAATTTTGAAAAGCTGAGCCTGGTATACACTGAGCTAAATTAAATTCCTGGAGGACCGGCTCGTCATTTTTCGGTAACTTCGCCGCCATCTTTTTGAAGCCACCAATATGGCAGATTTCGCCTTCTGCGCAGTGCGCAGAAGCTCTGCTGACGCCACTTGGTTCCTTTTGGCCATGGTATTTACCACTGACCAGGCTCAATCCTGAGCCCGCTACAGCAGTATTCTCCCCCCTGGTTTTTGTAAATAACAGTTCTCCCCCCTGGTTTTTATAATTTTTTTTGCGGTGAAATCTTTTTTGTTTTTGAAATGTTTTTTTGGTGTTTTTTTGATATTTTTCGCCCTGACATACAATAAAGTTTTATTTTAAGATGAATACAAGTTATACACGCTGTTTTTGCCAGAGCGGGAACAATATATATTAAATATGGAAAAATGTGGAGAATTAAACTAAAGATTTTAATACTGACACGAACTGACAGGTTTAATATTTTATTTTCGTAATAATATTTTTATTATTTATACATTCCAATATGAAAGTTTACAAATGTTTGAATGTTTTGGCACTATCCTCGCATATTTTGAAGACAACTAGGAATTTATGGGCAACAATTTGACTTTTCTAAACCCTGAACTGATGAATTCGATTGCAGGAAGTATGTAATCAGTATTCAGTATGTGATGTTGTCTTCAAGACTTTATATCTATGCACAATCCAAAATGCAAAGAAAGCTCAGGCAAAATGCTGGGCAGCTGACTAATACTAAGTGCAGGAATATAGTTTCAACCAAGAATCATATTTGCATAATATACTTTTCATTCAAGTCATCAACTTGTACCTTAATGGGCTATAAAAGTTTTCAGTATTTTCTAATTGCATCCCTGGACCCCTCGGCCTGGTCATAGTAAATAATAACATTTATCCCTCGATAGGCTCCACTGATTAGCCTAATGAATATAGCCCTCTTGGAGGTTGATACCATAAACAGAAAATTATAAAAGTTGCCGCAGATTGAAGACACACTGCTCAGTCAATGCATGTATATATTTATTTCATTAATCAATAAATATCACAATAGGTAACAGTCATAAAATGATGTGAACCCTTATGTTAATTTCACCATATGCATCATCAGCGCGTATGAAACACATTCGAATAAATAATTTTTGGGTCAAACTTTATACTGTTGTGAACTTTTATATATTAATATTGATGTATAAAATTTATTTGACGTGTATGTATGCAGTTCAAACCGGTGGATGGCGCATCTCGTGTGATAGTATCATCAGTATCACACCTGTGATTGCATATGAGCCAACAAAATCTCTCTTATCAGGTTAATCTTGTTTTTAATTAGCTGAAGACTACAACAGGAAATCGAAAATCCTCAAGAATCAGGGACAATATAAACTGCTGGTCAGCCATGCAGATGTTGAAACTGCATAGCATATCTACAGAACAAGAAGAAATGGTATGGCTGTTGGTGGAACTCAAGTCTGGCATTAAACAAGTAAAAAATAGTGTGCAATTGTGCCCATTGCAGTTTTAAACATTTGCAGATTGCATTGCAAAGAAAAAAATGTGCAAATGTGCTCTTCACTTGAAAATAAAAGGTTGAAGAAAGGAATAATGAAGGCATCTCTAAATGAGCAAACAAGTTGCTTGGAGGGCTTTAATCCTGTCTTAAACCAATTCTCCCCCAAGATAATTAGTTACAAAGGAATGCTTTGCAGGTACATAAAATGCATCTTGTCAATCTACAACATTATAATCTATTTTCAGTTTTATATGTTACTGGTACAGTACTAGAAACTACCATGAAAAACTTGTTTAGTTCAATGTTTCACCAACAAACCCAGGTAACTCACAGGGAATATACAATAAAACTAATCAGTTAATTTTATGATTCAATCAATGAGAGGTAATATTGACAATAATTAATAATTTCGGTTCCTGCTGTTACAATCCACTGAAGTGCAGTTTATGCAAAAATCCTATAAAAGGACACAAAAGTGTTATTAATTGTCCTCTAAACAATAGGCCTTTGAGCCATTGTTATTGTAAATACATGTTAATAAAGTTATGAGCTTTCTTCATCTGATCCCAAGTCTTCATAACCTTTGAAATCCTGATCACTCATCACTCTTGATATTATGAGTCAAACATATATAGCAGTATAAAGCACAAGCAGGCAGCGGTAAATGTCTGTCCTTTAATTTAATTACAATGTAGGCCTAATTAATTACCTATAGGCAAAAACCTACAGTGAATAGGAAAATTAAAACCTACAGTGAATAAGTTAAAAATTTAATAAGTATTTTAATAAATAAAATTTTGTAAAATGAATAGAAATCTGATGGAGATTATAAAATTTGTTATACCTTGCAAACCAGTTGTTCCATGTTTGTTTGTTTTTAACATTTGTACCTCAGCTTTGTACCGAGTTGATGATAACGATGAGTCAATGGCCACCACAAGTATTAAATATGTCTGCTGCAAGCTCCAATGACCATCATCTGTTCAGGAACACTGCTGGAAAACCAGGGTGTTCTGTTATACAAATCACTTTGACATTAACTGACTCCTGATCTTGAGAACCCAAATCATCAACAAACTCAAAACATTTTTCAATCTACCTACCATGCAACAATAGCATTCTTTAGGATTTTGAAGCATCTCAGTGTCGCAGTTTCAACACATGTACATTAAATTAGAAAATTAAACATGTCAACATGATATATATAAACAAAATCACAAAGAGTTAATGCATGATCAAATTGAAATGCTAGAATGTAATACCACGATCGAAGTCAACGATTCATTCCCTTCAAAACGCTGCTTCAAAATTCTCACCTTTTCGTCACCCTCCTCTCGCTTTCGATGATATTCTTGATTGCCAACCTTCGTCGGCAATCGCTTCATCGAAGTATTTATTAATAAAGCCTCTTCGTCTGTGTTTTCATACTCATACACAATTCGATGCATTGGCTGGGCCCAATTCGATTTATTAAAACGCGCTTATATTCAATTTCACACGCAGTATCAATAGAATAATTGTCAATGGTGCTAATATGTGAAGTTCAACTCGACATTTCACTTCTTTTACAAAAATAATAGGCATTAATAGCCAATATTTTGGCTTGCCCACTCAAATTGCAACAATTTCTAATTTGCAAATACCACATGTTCCTCCAAACCAGTCTCCATGTGCGCGCTACTTTGTTTTCGTATCTCAAAAAGTAGAAGTTTAAATCAAAATCTAATCGGGTTGGGATAAAACGCGGATCCGGAATGCGGAATTGCGGAAACAGAATGCGGAATTGCGGAAACGGAATGCGGAAAACGGAATGCGGAATTGCGGAAACGGAATGCGGAAACGGAATGCGGAATTGCGGAAACGGAATGCGGAAATGGAATTGCGGAAACGGAATGCGGAAACGGAATGCGGAATTGCGGAAACGGAATGCAGGGTTGCGGAATGCTAGAATGTTAAATTTAATTTTAACATGTATAACAGAACTAAACATATATAACATAACTAAATATGAGCTATGAGCTATGTTTCGTTCATGTAGGTAATCGAGGTCGGTCGCAATATCCTTGAAGCACACAGGCAAAATTTCGGCAAATGATCCGAGGTCAAATTCGCTGTCTACATAGTGGCAGAAATCGTCGAGATTGCTTACAACTTTCTCGATCCCAAATGGAGTAAAGTCGAAGCCAACATACTCCATTATCAAGCCATGTGGGTTGTCGGAATAACCAATAAATGCAGGAATATTATTATGGCTAATGCTCTGCATCATTTAGCCTCTTTCAAGAAGCGGCATTTAGCCTCTGCAGATTCTCCCTTGAGTTTTTTCACAACAACTTTTTGGCCATTATCACCATAGTTAGTTGAATAAACTGTGCCAAAAGTGCCGCTAGCAATTTCGTTTCGTCTCGTCTGGGAATGTTTTGCACGTGCGGGAATTTGCACGTGTAGGAATCCTTTAAGTGCCGATTCCGCTTTCTGGCGCAGGTATGTTACAGCAGTCAGGCAATTAATTAATTAAATGGAATCAAATGTCTTCACAAAATAACACACAGAAAGACCTAGCGCTGATATTAAAGGTAACAATGTAATCACTGTGTTAAACAAAGTTATAGTAAAATAATAATAAAAAATGAGGTTATATTTATTAGTTATAGACCTTAAGGTGGCTCCCTACAGTTTTGATTGTGTAATGCGCAATTGTGTTGGAAAGACCTTTATTTTATCATCTTACAAAGTATGATCACGAAACTTGGCCACATAACTGCTATGATATCGCAAATTACGAAATATATAAAATTTCATAAAATTTCCTCGTTGCCATGGTAACATAACGATTTTAAAAAGGGCCAATTTACAGACTGAGATAATTTTTTCAAATTTTCTTCGGTAAAACTTTCTAATTTTTTCCACACAGTAATCTTATCCATAATTCTTTCTAATGTTAGCATTTAAAAAAAATCGTACGAGCACTTTTTTTTAAATCCTCAAAAAATCCTGTTTTTTAATTAAAAAAAATTCGGCTCGTACGATTTTCTTAAAACTTGCACATTTTACGCATTTCAAGATTACAGAAAACTGTGTAAAGTTTGAAAAGAATTTACCGAAGGAAAAACGAAAAAAATACATTTATTTTTATGTTTATGACGTCACAAAAATCAGGATTTCAATTTCCTCGCGCGACCAGTCGACATCCCGCGAAGGCCCGCGCGTGTTTATCAAAAGTTCACAATGACAAGTTTTAAAAAGCCCGCCCTGCATGCAACATCAGCCACGCGTGTTGCGTGTACTATTTCGCGCGCGACAAAATTACCGCGATACAACCATAGAACTGTAGGGAGCCACCTTAAACGAGAGATATTTGGTTATATAATATTTCATCCCTCGGGTAATTTTTGGACAAAGACCCGGAGATTAAAATACAAAAATTGGTTCAGATTACTACGAACTAAATTTTTCATAAATATTTAATTGTTCTGAACTTTAAAATATACATATTAAGAATTAAGAAAGAAGAACAAGACTGTCGGGAAAAACACCCAGGGTAGGAACAGTTGGGTGCATTGTATTCGCTGAAAAATACCATGGTCGTATGGTATAAAACGAGTCCGGTAATTGCAAAAGTTTATTGTGAGGTATAATATATTAACTAAAGTTCATGGTTTGCGAAACGCCCGTTATCTGGAGGTTGGGTGTCGTTATCAAGGTGTGTTTACAGGCGCTGTTCGCGCAACATATGCTCATTAAACGTCATGTTATGCTAAACAGAGAATGTGAAACTAATTCACGATAAAGTAAGAATTTTCCCTTACAAGACAGTCCAAACTATGTGTTTCGTAAGGGTTTTTTATAAACATTTATTCCAGTTGCCTTATAACATTTTTATTAGTTTGACGCCGCATTCCGTTTCCGCAATTCCGTTTCCGCATTCCGTTTCCGCATTCCGTTTCCGCAATTCCGTTTCCGCAATTCTGCATTCCGTTTCCGCAATTCGCATTCCGTTTCCGCAATTCCGGATCCGCAATTCCGCATTCCGGATCCGCGTTTTATCCCAACCCAAATCTAATCTCATCTAGAACTTCTATTGTAACTTTTTACCTCTATTCGAATCACCAAAAACCCATTTTGGGTTTATAGAAACTTGTTTATAGACAATTGTGCGCCTTACGTATTAAAATTAATACTGGCATATTTGAGAAACTAGCTTGATATCTGCAGAAATTATATTAAAGTAAACGTTAACATGCATTGTAACAACAATTTTCAGACGGAACATCACAAAGAGTCTAGATATCACTGACGCCAACGAAAACCTTGCACCGATTTGTCCCTTAGTCGTTTCACGATTGAAGAAGAATACGATCAAGTACTAACAGAGCATTAACCATTTAGCTACATTCGTAAACACATTACATAATCACATATTACACGCTAATATAAACCATAAGGTTATCATATCAATAATAAGTTGAATCCTGAAACAAACAATTATTACTTTGAATACATTTTTTAACGTCTTCTATACTTTTAAAAGTACGATGTGCTGTCTGAATGTCGAACAACATTAATTTTGGGTTCGCCACGCTTCTAAGTTAATATGATATGAGCTATAGTGTTTATGTTCAGAAGTTTTATGTATTGAAAAGACAGGCACACGCGCGCCAGAGTTAACGCCAGAGCATGCCAAAGATTTATAATTAGCATCAGGATTCACGAAAGATTATACAATTATGTTTCTGCAAATTTTCATCTTTTAGTAGTTTCAAGATTAACGCGATAAATCTGTCCCATGCATGAATGTCGCTTGACGCTATTACACATGGCAAATTAACCGGGCAACCCAAAGTTTTAATGAAAGCAGATCTAAACTTAAGTTTTTACCTCATCCTACCAGTAAACCTATAAGGATTTTATAAGAGGGACAAATTGAGGCGGCCGAAATATAGTTAAGCCATATAAAAGTAGTTCATGGAACTTTGACTTTCCAGAAATATTGGCCAGTTTTTACCTCATTTGTCAAACATTGTAAATACGTAACGGTTCTAAAAGGAATTTTTATTTGTACAATGTAAAAACTTACCCTTTTATAACTTCAGATCTTGTTAAGTATGCTTTCTATCAACACACGCCAGCACAAAATGAGCAACTGTCTCGATCAGGGCTCATTACATAATATCTAGCTTACATTTGTGCATGACGCAATTTCCTGTCGTTACGCGGTATTAATTGTTTTCACCCACTTGCTTCAGTTGCTAGCTTAACAGAAATTTTCCTGAATATTATACAGTATATCCGTTGTGGTAATTTAACACAAATAACTAATTCCTTTTAACAACAATTACATCAAGAGTAAAAAACCGAAACTAGAGTACAACTTCGCTATTTTAATAATTATGATACAACCATTTTATTTTTCGATAAAAAATTTTATCAACTATAGGCTCCAGCTTTAAACCCGGTTAATGTGTTCTGTTGGAACCGCAGTTATATATTTCCCAAAAGCAGATATTTTGAATTTCCAACTTGTAGCTATTTATGTTCATGCTGTTAGGGCCTCCACAGACTAGGATTTAGTTGTCGACAACTATTTGTGATCGACATGCAACTAAAAGTTATCGACAACTACAAAACGTAGTCTGTCGCGCAAGTTGTCGGCAACTAAACTCTAACTTGATTATTAGTTGTCGACAACTAATACTCGACGGCCTCATTTTTTGGTGTTTTTCTTGTGTGTGAAAACTTTTGTTTTAGTCGTCGACCACTTTTAATCTCTGCACTATTTCGGTTGCTAAATCAGTATTCAAACGCCAGTTAGTGGAATCTTTTATCAGACTTATTTAGTTGTCGATAACTTTTAGTTGCATGTCGATCACAAATATAGTTGTCGACATCTAAATCCTTAGTCTGTGGAGGCCCTTAGACTGGTAAACACTGATACGTGATTATCAATTATCCATACAACTGAAGTTTATTTTCTATATAAGATCGATACGTTGTCTCACTTTCAAAATTCCAGTAGCAAACAATGTATAGTTGAAACAAACCTTCGAAGAGGCATTTGCTGTCAGCTGATTTCCATATGTTGGTCGCTAAATATTATGAATATTTTATATAGACTAGACAATGGCAATAGACAAATCACCATAGGAGACCAACTCGCTTCCTAGATCTGATTCATGCATAATTATCTTATCAGAACTTCAAGTTTATCCACACTGAAAGTATGAACAACATGAATCCAAATTACGCAATTTGGACAATTTAGTTGTGCAGGGGCCGGTTGCATTGTTCAAAAGCCGGTTAGCTCATCCCTGGGTTAAAGCAAATCTTTACATTGATTTTTAACTTCCTGTTTGCAAAGTTCATAATCAATTTTTCATAAATAATTTCAGGACTGATAGAAGTCATATTTTCTAAACGTTTTACAACGAACAATGGTTCAAAAGCACATAAACTAAAACTCTTGAATACAATTTAACCCTGGGTTAAGGCTAACCTAGCTTTGAAAAACCGGCCCCATGATATAGTATGTCTGTAATTATTACGTTCGCCACCCACGATACCCAATTGTCCGTTGCATTAATTTTAATGATGAATTGCATCAATAAATACGGTATGTTAGAAGTTCA